TCAAGCCATTTACCTATAAGCATGCCAAAACTGAGCCAGATGTAAAGAGGGTAAGTGCCATAAAATCCTATTTGAAATGACCCTCTGTTTTCCCCATAAAATACAAAGATTATATAGGGAAATACGACTGGTCAGTTTTGACCCATTTCCCAATTTTTCCCGGACATGGCGAGTTTTTTGTGACACCCCAAGGCGTTCTCCTACCACCTCACAAAATATCAAGGGGGGTCGTCGGAGGACATTTTTTTTCGTAATAGAGCTCATATAAAGAGAATTTCACTCGCGGTCACTTTTTAGCCCTCGTCGAGGGCTTTGAGTGTAACCGACAGTTTTCCCTAAAGGTCAAGCCATTTACCTATAAGCATGCCAAAACTGAGCCAGATGTAAAGAGGGTAAGTGCCATAAAATCCGTTTTGAAATGACCCTCTGTTTTCCCCATAAAATACAAAGGTTATATAGGGAAATACGACTGGTCAGTTTTGACCCATTTCCCGATTTTTCCCGGACATGGCGAGTTTTTTGTGACACCCCAAGGCGTTCTCCTTCCACCTTACAAAATATCAAGGGGGGTCGTCGGAGGAAATTTTTTTTCGTAATAGAGCTCATATAAAGAGAATTTCACTCGCGGTCACTTTTTAGCCCTCTTCGAGGGCTTTGAGTGTAACCGACAGTTTTCCCTACAGGTCAAGCCATTGATCTAGGAGCATGCAAAAAATTAGCCAGATATACTGAGCTTAAGTATCCTAAAGTCTGCGTTGAAATGACCCTCTGTTTTTCCCATAAAATACAAAAATTATATAGGGAAATACAACTGGTCAGTTTTGACCCCTTTACGAAGTTTTCCCAGATATGCCGAGTTTTTTGTGACAACCCAAGGTGTTCTCCTACCACCTCACAAAATTTCAAGGGGGGTCGTCGGAGGAATTTTTTTTTCGTAATAGAGCTCATATAAAGAGAATTTCACTCGCGGTCACTTTTTAGCCCTCTTCGAGGGCTTTGAGTCAAACCGACAGTTTTCCCTAAAGGTCAAGCCATTCACCTAAGAGTATGCAAAAAATTAGTCAGATATACTGAGTTTAAGTACCCTAAAGTCTGCGTTGAAATGACCCTCTGTTTTTCCCATAAAATACAAAGATTATATAGGGAAATACAACTGGTCAGTTTTGACCCCTTTACGAAGTTTTCCCAGATATGCCGAGTTTTTTGTGACACCCCAGGGTGTTCTCCTACCACCTCACAAAATTTCAAGGGGGGTCGTCGGAGGAATTTTTTTTTCGTAATAGAGCTCATATAAAGAGAATTTCACTCGCGGTCACTTTTTAGCCCTCGTCGAGGGCTTTGAGTGTAACCGACAGTTTTCTCTAAAGGTCAAGCCATTGACCTAGGAGCATGCAAAAAATTAGCCAGATATACTGAGCTTAAGTACCCTAAAGTCTGCGTTGAAATGACCCTCTGTTTTTCCCATAAAATACAAAGATTATATAGGGAAATACAACTGGTCAGTTTTGACCCCTTTACGAAGTTTTCCCAGATATGCCGAGTTTTTTGTGACACCCCAGAGTGTTCTCCTACCACCTCACAAAATTTCAAGGGGGGTCGTTGGAGGAATTTTTTTTTCGTTATAGAGCTCATATAAAGAGAATTTCACTCGCGGTCACTTTTTAGCCCTCGTCGAGGGCTTTGAGTCAAACCGACAGTTTTCCCTAAAGGTCAAGCCATTCACCTAAGAGTATGCAAAACATTAGTCAGATATACTGAGTTTAAGTACCCTAAAGTCTGCGTTGAAATGACCCTCTGTTTTTCCCATAAAATACAAAGATTATATAGGGAAATACAACTGGTCAGTTTTGACCCCTTTACGAAGTTTTCCCAGATATGCCGAGTTTTTTGTGACAACCCAAGGTGTTCTCCTACCACCTCACAAAATTTCAAGGGGGGTCGTCGGAGGAATTTTTTTTTCGTAATAGAGCTCATATAAAGAGAATTTCACTCGCGGTCACTTTTTAGCCCTCGTCGAGGGCTTTGAGTCAAACCGACAGTTTTCCCTAAAGGTCAAGCCATTCACCTAAGAGTATGCAAAAAATTAGTCAGATATACTGAGTTTAAGTACCCTAAAGTCTGCGTTGAAATGACCCTCTGTTTTTCCCATAAAATACAAAGATTATATAGGGAAATACAACTGGTCAGTTTTGACCCCTTTACGAAGTTTTCCCAGATATGCCGAGTTTTTTGTGACACCCCTAGGTGTTCTTCTACCACCTCACAAAATATCAAGGGGGGTCGTCGGAGGAAAATTTTTTTCGTAATAAAGCTCATATAAAGAGAATTTCACTCGCGGTCACTTTTTAGCCCTCGTCGAGGGCTTTGAGTGTAACCGACAGTTTTCCCTAAAGGTCAAGCCATTGACCTAGGAGCATGCAAAAAATTAGCCAGTTATACTGAGCTTAAGTACCCTAAAGTCTGCGTTGAAATGACCCTCTGTTTTTCCCATAAAATACAAAGATTATATAGGGAAATACAACTGGTCAGTTTTGACCGCTTTACGAAGTTTTCCCAGATATGCCGAGTTTTTTGTGACATCCCTAGGTGTTCTTCTACCACCTCACAAAATATCAAGGGGGGTCGTCGGAGGAAATTTTTTTTCGTAATAGAGCTCATATAAAGAGAATTTCACTCGCGGTCACCTTTTAGCCCTCGTCGAGGGCTTTGAGTGTAACCGACAGTTTTTCCTAAAGGTCAAGCCATTGACCTAGGAGCATGCAAAAAATTAGCCAGATATACTGAGCTTAAGTACCCTAAAGTCTGCGTTGAAATGACCCTCTGTTTTTCCCATAAAATACAAAGATTATATAGGGAAATACAACTGGTCAGTTTTGACCGCTTTACGAAGTTTTCCCAGATATGCCGAGTTTTTTGTGACACCCCTAGGTGTTCTTCTACCACCTCACAAAATATCAAGGGGGGTCGTCGGAGGAAATTTTTTTTCGTAATAGAGCTCATATAAAGAGAATTTCACTCGCGGTCACTTTTTAGCCCTCGTCGAGGGCTTTGAGTGTAACCGACAGTTTTCCCTAAAGGTCAAGCCATTGACCTAGGAGCATGCAAAAAATTAGCCAGATATACTGAGCTTAAGTACCCTAAAGTCTGCGTTGAAATGACCCTCTGTTTTTCCCATAAAATACAAAGATTATATAGGGAAATACAACTGGTCAGTTTTGACCGCTTTACGAAGTTTTCCCAGATATGCCGAGTTTTTTGTGACACCCCTAGGTGTTCTTCTACCACCTCACAAAATATCAAGGGGGGTCGTCGGAGGAAATTTTTTTTCGTAATATAGCCCATATGAGGCGCCGGTCAGTCGAGGTCAGTTTTGACCCCCTCTCCGTAGACTTTTCGGCCAACCGTCACCGGCCCTCGTGTTCTATCGCCCGAAGGCACCATCGTGCCAAATTTGACGCGCCTGCGGCGCCGGGAAGTGCCCTATCGGGCACCTGACCACTTTGCTTTATATATATAGATTCCCTCTTCTAATTAGGTTAATTTCTGATTACGATGTCAAATAATCTAAGCTACAAGACTGTCTCTTTAACTACATTTCAGAGCTCCATAAAATGGGACAAATCACTACAGCCCATCCCCCCCCCCCCCCCACCCACAGCATTTTCACTCCTCCATTCCATTAACATATTGAGTGTTTTAAACTACGGTGCTATCTGTTACTGCTTGTCTTTTCATTGTCAGACGCTCAGAAAGTAGCACAAATCACCGTATGTGTCCTCCGGGTGGTCTTATCTTTCTTGTGCATACCATTAACCCGTAGCATTACATTACAGTACACCCCCAACATACAATTTCCCCTGACCAACCTGCACTGAATATTTTATACTGTATCAATGTTGTTAACAACTCTCCAATTTTGCTCCGTATGTTTAGGGGGGGGGGGGGGAGGAGGTTCATTATAAAATTTCGGGGGAGGGGCGAAATTAAAATTACCCCCTCCTCAAAGAGAAAGAAAATCTGCCTACCCTAAAAGAGAACCATTTAACGAGATGGACTATGGGTGCAACTGTAATCAAACAAGTAGCCTGGATAGATCTAGATGTAAGATTTCTCATTATAAAAAGTGTCCGCCTACTAATGTAATCTATCCAGTAGCTGGGGACAGGGTACTAAATATGTTGCCGGGGAAGTTAATATTATAGTAGCCTATAGATAACAAAATATAGTTATAGGCTATCAACCTTAACCATCACATCAATTAAGCTATGCCGTTACATTTTCAATCATATTTCATTTTCATTCGTATCAGATGCTTAATAGACATTTTCTGCAGTCATTCTCTGTCTGAGAAAAATCGATCATTACGTCATACACATGCAACATGTGATGTGATGATAAAAATCTACCAGAACAGAAGTGAGTGTGTGAACAGAAGTGTGTAGGCCTAACAGCTTCATTAAGCCAAGGCTTACGCCATGGTTTTAATTTTATCTGAGAAGTCACAATTTAAATAGTTGTGGATATACTTAATTTTGTAAAATGGATTTAACACTGGAAATATTCTTAGTAATGGCCGAATCTATAGTACTAGACTTTCTAGATCTGGTAGGAAAGAACGGTAATTAATATTCGGCAAAGGCTTAATTATAATAATTTTTCACTGGCTTCCCTTTGTAAAAGATGGCGTTTTGCGGCGTATAGCTTGTGTAAACAAACTCGGTAACTAACGACATGATAATGTGAAAACTATTTCATAGATTCAGATATTCACTTGTGAAATTATCTAAGAATTAAGCAATTAAATATATTTTGATTAAAATTAATCATGGTAGTAGTAGACCTAGGTATTTTATTTTTAGACCTGTCGTTTGTAAATTCATTCAACTCATCAACCAATCACACTGATTGATTTTGTTTGATATGGCCTGGCATGCCAGTTTGAGTTAAAACTACTAAGTTACTAATATTAGAAGCCTACTTCTAGATTCTATTACACTATTTCTAACTTTGCAACGTAGGCCTTATTAGGGGAGCTTCCTATGTCTAGGCAGCCTAACCCAACCACCCAAAAAGTCAGTTTTCTTGTCACTGTCATGTCAGGCAATCTTAATAATTTTAATTCTTTTTATCTGTCCATATTAATGATGTTTCTTAAATAAATAATTAACAGCTCCAGCCATTGGTATCTCACTATCTTATATATCTCTATTCTATATATATTATCTAGACTTAGGTATATATATAATATATATATATATATATATATATATATATATATATATATATATATTATAGGCCTATATATATCTATATATATAATTCTCTTCTGGGTGCCGTTAGAAAACAAGCTGCAAGCGCCTCCTTGCAGTCCCCTCTCTTTCTCTATTTCACTATCACTACCACCCCCACCCCCACATTATCTGGTGAGCGGTGTTCTCTCTAAATGTTTACAAAGCTAAATGTTTACAAATCGTAGAGCTGTCGAGCCGGGTTTCTATTAGATAATTTAGTTCGATTTTAAACTTACAGGAGGTAACTAAGAAATAACTAAGAGGAGGCTGCTTTCACAGGGGGGGGGGGGGGGTGTAGGGTCGGGGTTAGGGGAAAGGGGGGGGGGGGTTAGTGTTTTAAAGCAAATATTTTCAGTGGCAGCAAATTATGAATTACTGAAAAGTAGAAAATAAAACAACTAAATAGCGGTGTATGATACGCTGCGGGTCGGCTCGTATATATATAATAGTCTTATACAACTTATAGTTATAGACCCACTCCCCTATTGATCTAATAACTAATAGCCTCATAATGTTAATAATTTATTTATAATTTTATAATATAATATTTTATATAATACCTAGATTTAGTCTAGATCTAGTGCTAATTATTAATTAGCCTGCCAAAATTTAATTACAATTTTATCTACTTACAGTTTTACACAGGTGATAAAGAGACTTCAGAGTTTAAAAATGACAAGACTGGCTAAAATTGCTCACAACTCAGTCATTAAATTAACGAAGTCTTCATTATGAGCTCACCCAATGGTGGCAAAAAGCTGAAAACTGTTGGGAGCGACAAACATTATTTCGGGGCTGGCGCTTCAAGAGACCAGTCAAAGCTTCTTAAAACGGATGGCACTCAAAATGAATTATTTTTTGACAACCCTGATATAGACAACCACTCGTATACAAAGTCTCATTCTAATATTCCAACTATAGAAGTTGATCTAAGCATGTCTGAGCATTTACCGCGTATTAACAGCAGTGTTTCTTACGACACTGGTCTTACTAATGCCACTGACGCTGAACCATTGGATGCGACGAGCAAGCTTAGGGATAAAAAGAAAAGGAAACATCACTCAAAGAAAAAGCAAACTGTTGAAGAAGATATCAGCAACAAGGCGTTTTCCCCCACAGGAGCACCTCATTCTGGGAGCTCTCTAACCACATCACTGCACAAAATCAACTGTAAAGGTGATGCACCTGAAAGCTCTCTTTTAAAGTTACCGCCCTTAGCATTGGTGCCAACCAAAGATGCTGAAGAGAAAAGTATGACAAGTTCCAAGTCTTATCCATTAGACAAGTCACTGGCTTCTGCTGAGAAAACCTTAACTCAGTTTCTAGGAAACCACGCCAAACATTTAACTTTGAAGCAGGTAAAAAAAATTTTTTTGGACAGAATTTAATATGCATCAAGTGCTTACAAGTAAAAAGGTAAAAAAATGTTAATGTAAATAATATGGAATAACTTTAACTTTAACCTTATTCTTGCAGAGGGAAACTGCGCAGTATGTATCAAGCAAAATAAAACAACGTGAGTGTTGTCATTATGTGAGTAAAGCAAGGTAAGCTACTCTTACTTTTAAAGTTATATTAAACTAACGTAGCTATTAGTTTTTTTTATTATTCTGCATGTGATGGTTCAACATTCTGTGTTTGATAATTTTAAATTACCTTATGGGAATCTATTTTGTAATTACCCATGCTTTTTGATAAACCTTTTTAAAGAATAAAAGTCAGTCCCTACTTAGGTGAACTTGCCCATTGTAATATGTTTACTTGTGACTTCTTATAAATTTTGGTCTGGAATTGATAGCATTTTTCCAGATTTTATTTAAAAAAATAATTTCTTCTTATGTTTGTTCTTGTGATCGAAAATACTAACAGTTTTAATATAAGTGGAAAGTACTAGCTGAAACAAGAGCTAATATAATCTCACTTGGCATTTAGGACTTGTTTATAAATTGGTTCAATTTATATGGAAACAAAAATATTGAGTTATAGTTTCTATTTAAATGATTATATTTTATTATTCAAACTTTTTTTACATTACTTAGTTTATGTGTATATGTATTTTATCAAGTAATTAAAATATCTTGTTTTACTATCAAGCACCAAAGACAAATGCTGCTGTAACAGACCAAAACAGTGGCACGTGGAGCGCAGGCTGCCCATTGATGACCAAAAAGGACAGAAATGGGACCCAGAAAAACACACAGCCACCATGCCTTGCGACTCGTTTGGGGACATTCACTTCCGAGGTTTCGGCACAACCGTGGCAAATTCTCCAGTAAGTGACAAGTTTTGCAGTTGCTTATTTTGTGGGTGTAATAAAAAAATTTGTTTTTTTTCCTTTCAACTTTTAAAACAAATTATTTTTTAAAAGTGAGTTAAATGTTTATTCTTCAATTATTTGCTGACTTTGTGTTTCAGTATGCTCGTGTTGACATAAAAACAGACCCCGCCATCGTTCACAATTTGTTGATTAACTACTGGAAGATGCCCCCTCCCAGACTGTTGATATCTGTTACTGGCGGAGCACAAAGGTTTGAGTTGATGCCTAGGTTGAGCACTTTACTGAAACGAGGCCTCGTTGGCGCAGCTATTAACACAGGTTAGGGGGAACTACATTCTTGTTCTGTCTTAGTTGTTTAAGATATATATATTTTTTTATTAAATTGCACTTGAGACTATTAAAAACTATATCTATTGTTAAATTTATTTTAGTATCACACTTAAGCCTGTAAGGGTTATCACCATTAAGACCAGGGATAGAGTAGCAATATTTTCACAACTGTAGTTTCTGTATGATCCACCAGCCTTTTTAAAAGTAACAGAGTTATTATAGAGTATTTTTTTTATAAAATTGCACTTGAGACCATTAAAAACTATATCTATTGTTAAATTTATTTTAGTATCACACTTTGGCCTGTAAGCGTTATCACCATTAAGACCAGGGATAGAGTAGCAATATTTTCACAACTGTAGTTTCTGTATGATCCACCAGCCTTTTTAAAAGTAACAAGAGTTATTATATAGTATCTTTAAGCCTATGAACTTACAAATAAAACCAGTAGAAATATTATATAATTAGCATAGCATATTTAACTCTTTTAGTATTAATACAGCTTTCATAATAGAATTTTTTTTATTGCAAATTAATTTTTTTTATATACAACTATATATTCATATTATATAATAATAGTACATTTTAAAATTTGCTATTTTTTTAACAGTTCCTTTACAAACCACAATTTGTGCTATTATATACTTTCTAAGAGACCTGCCGTAGAATTTTATAGGTTAGGTACAATTCCCTACTATGTCTCTAATATTATTGCTACAAATTCACTAGCAGTCTCAATAGAAATAAAAAAAGAACACAGAATGAAATGTCCCTTGAGACTGTATTAAGATTCTTTAATGTGGACTGATAGCAGCATTAACAAGTAGTGTCATTCTAGGTGCATGGATCATTACTGGAGGTACTGCCTCAGGGGTGATGGAGTTTGTAGGGGAGGCAGTCCGGGACCACATGACAGTGCGTGGGAGAAGTAACGACGAATCCTGCGTGGCTCTCGGCATTGCTCCGTGGGGCTGTGTGGCAAACAATTTAGCACTGGATGGAGAAGGGGTGAGTAATTGATTTGACAATTTTTTTTTCTTCTGAGTTTTGTATGTTTTGGATTGTAAGATTACAGTGATTATCTCGCTTTATATAAGCCTAATGATATTTATTATCAGGGTTTATTGCTTGCAATGCTTGAGAGAAAAGATTTATGGTTGATGCCATTAAGATGGCACAATAAATAAAATATCAAATTCATCACTTAAAATTTTTTTTTCTACATTATCAAATGCCAAACTGACATTAACTAATAATTTAAATCAATGTTATAGATTGCCTTTATTGACTTAACTTTGAGCTATCCTTACACTAAAGTATTAGAATTTAGCACTTACCAAAAGAAACTTGAAGTAATAGTAAAACAAATTCATATGTGAAAATATAGGATCTGTAGCGTAAACAATTTCTTATTTGAACACATGTGGTCAGTAGCCTTAAGTAATAGCTGAACTTATTCATAATATGAACATTAAAGTCATGGCTGAACTTATTCAAATGAACATTAAAGTAATAGCTGAACTTATTCATAATATGAACATTAAAGTAGCAGCTGAACTAATTTATATGAATATTAAAGTAACAACTGAACTAATTCATATAAATATTAAAGTAGCAGCTGAACGTATTCATATGAACATATGTTATTTGTGCAGGAGCAAGGATTATGGCCTGCCACATATGCTATTGAGGATGTTGTTCATCAGCCTAAAGGGTACACATCATTAGATCCTAACCACTCCCATTTCATACTGGTGGACAATGGGTGTGACATCACGTATGGGGCTGAGATTTCCTTCCGCACCCAGCTTGAATCTTACATTTCTAATGCTGGAACAACAGGCGCATCAGAGACCCAAGGTACTTACATTCTTGACACATTTTTTTCTTGAGACCTTTTTTTTGTTTATTTTATGTTAAAAGCAAGAGCTACTAGAAAAGAAAGAATGCTAAAATTGTGCTATTGATTTAAATTAGTGCAGCAGGCTAAAACCATAGAATCTAGGTGGTTAACTGTATTAATGCTATTTGAGGTTACTACAAATTCTACATTGTTATTGAAATTTTAAGATAATAAATGTTTAACAGTTCACATTTAAAGAAAAATATCTTTACAGATTAGATGGTTAATATGGACAGATGGAGTAGAGCTTGTCTGTTTTTGGGATGTCTGTTCAATTAGGATTAGGGCTAAAAGTAGAATAGAGAGCAGGGTTAGGGTTTTAAGTATTTAACTAGTGCATTTGCATTATTATTTTTAAAAAATCAGGCCCATTACCAAATTTAAGTTCTTAATTTTATTTCATATATGTTGAATGTTTCCTAACATACTCGAATCCACATAAAAAGAGAGTGTAATTGTTAGTAGCATTAAAAAATGTGGTAATGGAACCAGACTAGTTGACCAAATCTCTGTAGACAATCTGTCATAGCTGAAAAGTCTATAGGCAAATTGTCATGGAACCCAGCACTATAGATGCATGTGTAAACCACTCTTGCTTCTTCCACAGATATGAACATCCCAGTGGTTCTCATTGTTGTAGAAGGAGGGGTCGGCACAATGGATACATTTTTCCAGTCAATTGAAAGAAAAACTCCAGTGGTTGTCATAAACGGATCAGGGAGGGCTGCGGATTTTATCGCCCTGGCTTTTAGAATGACCTCGGATCCAACTAAGTAAACAAATTTCACATGTTGGCGAATAATCATCTAGCTGTTTAGTGTAGAAAAATGTTATCGATTTTTAACATTAAATAACTTATCAAAAAATATCTAAAATGTGCTAAATATTACTTAATGTTAAGGGCAGATGCCTTAGAAAGTTTTAAAATGTTTCAGCGTTACTTTTAAGGGTATTTAATGTATATATGTTAGTAATATCTAATATTTGGACGGATGATATATAAAATCACACTTGGCTATTTGGCCAAAAAAACCATGAAATAATTTGAAAATTAATTTCATCTCCACTGCTATACAACTTTGTTTTCCCAAACGATGAATGAAATTGAATAGATTTAAATTCTTCACACCAAAATCTGCAGTAATAGTCCTACTTATTGTGATAACAAAATTTTAAATAAAGTAATATAAACAGTTACAGCCTATGACTAAATCAACACAATTTAAAAAATATTTCAGTCATAGATTAAAAAAAACCCAATACATTTTAAAATGTTTTTAACTGTTAGTATTATTAAAGAGCATTGTTGTATAAAGTTTAAACTACTTAAATCCTTTGGTTTTTTTGTTTTAATTTTTTTAGCCCAGATCATTCAAAATTCCCCTCTGACTTCAAACCAACATTGACACAATCAGCCAACAAAATATTTGTCTGGAAGACCCATGACACCAATAAGGACAAGAAAATAATAGAGTGCATAGACAACTTGAAGAAAGCACTTAAAGAGCATCGTTCTTTGGTGGGTTTTTAATTTTACAAATATTAGTTCTCATAAAAATTATCTGAAATTTACAAATAGTATCATAAGAATGTGTCACCACAATTTTTGTATGACTGTTTGTTCTCATTATAATGTATGTTTATATTTATATTCATTTTTGATAGAACTATACTATATCGATACTTTTTGGTTAGTTTTATATAAATAATTTTTTTTATGCTTTTAATTAAGTAACCTCTATCACACTGTTGTAATTGTGACTGTCCTTAAAGATTGAAATTTCAATATCTTTTATTAAATTTTGAGATTTCTAACACTATTGTTTAAAAAAAATGCTGGTTACATATATCTTGCTGCAGCTACCAATTTATTTGAGAATAAGAATGTGACTTTTTAAAAATTAACAGATCAACATTTATGACTTAGAAAAGTCAGAATCAGCAGAGGACATTGATCGAGCCATCTTGTATGCTTTGCTCAAAGGCAAGAAAACTATTTTTTAAAACATTTCCTACATTTTCGTTGTGAAAATTAAATGTTATTTTATTTTGTAATTATTTTCAAAATTTGAACCTGTTGTTTAGTCAATCTAACCTACACTTACATCAATAAAATGGCTCAACTTTATTGCGTAGTTAATCAAACTTACACTACTCTAAGATTTTATTTTTATTTTATTCAATGAATCAAATAACTGAAAACAAATATAAGATTTTTTTTTTCTTTTAAATTAATAATGACTACACTTCATTGTGTAAATTAATTATATAGTATTATTAGCTTATTTTCTTGAATCACATAAGTGAGTAAACTTTTTATTATACTTTTAATTAAATCAACCCTAATGTAAGCTTTTTTCTTGAATCATCTAAATGAGTATACTTTGTTGTTATACAGCCAACAAATTTGACTGCAAGTCCCAGTTGGCTCTGGCCCTGGCATGGAACAGATGTGACATCGCACGCCAGCAGATTTTCATCCCAGAAAACAGAAGTAGCTGGAAGGTGAGTCAATAATTGTCCTGTAGAGTTTGTGTTCTTATGATAACGGACATTGGTTTTGACAGCAATTTTGTATTATGTGCTGCTTTTCTATTCTTTTTAAAACCAAGGTTCTATTCTTTTTAAATATATATATATTTTTAGCTATGTAGAAAATAAAATAGGTCTAATTATTAAAACCAAGGTTCTGTTTTTTTTTAAATATATATATTTTTTTAACTATGTAGAAAATAAAATAGGCCAAATTATTAAAACAAAGGTATTACTTATTCAAGGCTATTGTATTGCTTGTAATAATAACTCTGATTCTAACAGCCAAACAGGTATTAAAAAAAAAGTCAATACAACAACCAATACTGTATTATTTTGCCTACTTTTCAGTAAGAACAAGAGTCCAGTAATAGATCTCATTACTGAAAAACCGTGTGTCATTAATTTTGTTTTCTTCGAGCAGGTCAAGGACTTGTATGATGCCATGTTTACTGCCCTAGTCCAGGACCGGCCAGATTTTGTCCAACTTTTCCTGGACAACGGTGTGGACCTGAGGAAGTTCCTGACAGTCAAGACACTGTGGAATTTGTATTGCCATGTGAGTCGGCTCTTCACTTCTCTGATTATTTAACCCTTTAACTCCTGTTGTAGCATTTTATCTCTAATATTTAACCCTTTAACTCCTGATGTAACTTCTCTAATATTTAACCCTTTAACTCCTGATGTAACTTTTCTAATATTTAACCCTTTAACACCTGATGTAACTTTTTTCTCTGATAATTAACTCTTTGACTCCTGATGTAACTTTTATTCTCTGATATTTAAGCATTTAACTTCTGAAGTCTGGACTTTTTTATTGTATCTCTGTGCTGTGTTTTGTTCTTTAGAATAGCTATTTTAATTTCACATGCACGGTCATATGGTCACAAACTGCCTCCCCTAGAACAGGGGTCGGCAACCTGCGGCTCGCGAGCCGCATGCGGCTCTTTTGATATCAAGATGCGGCTCTCCAGCTCCTTGAACAAATACCAACAATCTCAATAAAAAAAAATATTTGAAATAAAAAAATGTTAGTGGCTCTTTAAAACCAGAGAAATTTTGAAAATTGTAACTTTTGGCTCTTCCGCTTCAAAAGGTTGCCGACCCCTGCCCTAGAACAAAATTGTGGAGCAAGAAAGAAAGGAAAACTAACTTCCTTTGTGTATTTTTATCTATCACAATTGAGCTTGGGTTAAATTTATAATATTTTGTTAAAAATGGTGCAAACATTTTCATATTTTTCCTTAATGGCATAATTTTTTAGTACATTTACAGGTGCCTGTGGAAAATTTACTTATAAGGGATAGAATTAAATAATAGGTTTTTCTGTTTAGAGGCGGTTGAAGTCACTTGTGGAAAATTGTGCTGTGTTCAGTTCTGTAAAATTGTATTCAGTTCTATAAAGCAGTTTTTCTCTCATTGTTGCAGTGCCTGGATGTTGAAGATGATGGGGAGGCCACCATACTGAGGCAAATGATCATGTTCCTTAAGGTGAGGTTCCTTGATAACATTTCTTTAGGCTCTATCATTTACAGTGATTTTATTCAAAATCAACACAGACTAATAGTATATCCTGAAAACATAAAGATCAATCAAATGAGTTTCTTAATTTTCTTTTTGTAAAAAATCATATAGTTTTAATTGTATAAGCCTGTTAATAGAAAAGTTACAAGACATTCAATTTATTTTCAATGTAGGTACAATGTAGCTCACTTTTCTGCATTTTTGTACTGTTTTTCCTCTATAATCAATGAAAAATGATTTATTAAAACTCATTTTTAAGTAGAGTTTACAAAATTTCAAACTTTGATAGTATGCAAGAAAGTATTGATATTGGCACCGTTAAAGAAGATGTTTTAAAGATTTTTTAAAACTGCTGAATATGTTTTGAAATTCGATCTTACAGCAAGGATGGGGGGCATACCTGAGACGCCAGGCACTAGAGGAGTGGAGAGATTTCCCTAAAGATGAAGTTCTGGAGTGTATCAACAAGGTTATCATCTACCTGCTTGCTGACGAGGGCTTCGAGTTTTACATTGGTAAAATCCCATTTGACCCCTTAAATTCATTCTTGTCATTATAGCAAAACATTTGGATCAAATGCACTTTGAGTAGATTAATAGATGATTTTTGTGAGTTCACATTTGTTTATCCTGTCCTAATTTTCTGAATACCAAACAGATATGTAGGTCTAAGTATACTTGTATAAACCCATGATCAGATACCTGGGTATGCATATGGACATATACCTTTACTCACATGAACATATACAGTATATGCAAATTTACATTTATGTATAGACAAAGAAATGCAGGCTACATATAATTTGACATAGATGTACAACTAGGCTTATAAATGGACAAGTACAGAGACATGTGTACATTCACAAGTACACATTCCTTTACCTATGACTGGAAATATACTTGTACATTTATATGGACATGCATATAACACATATGCATTTATATTTATACATATGCATGCATGTATACTTTGACATATACATGTACATATACTTGCGCTTGAACCCTATATTTTTTACCCCAGGAGAGAAGTATAAAGTGAAAAATGAAAAGATCACCATGGAATGGAAGGGAGATTCTAAAAGCATCCAGCCACTTCTGTCTCGCCTGGAAACTGCTGATCAAACTGGTGAGAATATAATTGTTCACTCAAGACTGGTATTTGTCTAGAAGTGTTGTTTTAATGTGGACTTAAAACATGCTGAACCAATATCTTTGATAGTGAAATATAAAAACTAATATAATACAAGGATTTATGGCAAAATATACAATACATCCTGCTATAATTTTTTTTGTTCCCAGATAAATGTGCAAACCGATAATTGCACAAACAGAAAAATGCGCAAATACAAATTTTATACTAAGACACTTTCATTTTATTATATTTCATGAAAAAGTGTTTTATTATGCTTCAATGTGTACTAGCTGCATCCCGTGCTCCGCCACGGTAAATCTTTTTTAAATGTACCAACTTGGGAACAGAACAAAACTAAACACAACACAAACGAACGCAAAAAAAAAAACGAAAAAACAAACACAACACTCATAACATAAACACAATTTAAATGCAATCATAAAGGCATATTGCTCACAGTCTAGCCCGTAGCGCCAAATCGCTCCCTTTCCGGTGATTTGCACCCCCCTCAAACTTTCGATTTGCACCCCTCCCCCCCCCGCCCTAAAACTTTCGATTTCCACCCCCCCCCCTCGCAAATTTTTTCCAATGCACTTTGGCGCCCCCTGAGGTCGGCACCCGGGGACATATGCCCCCCCCCCCCTCGCTACGCCTCTCCTATAAAACCCGAAAGATAGAATAATAATTAGAAAACAGTATAAATAATAGGCAGTATTTAAAATATCCGTGTTTTACCTACAATATTTCACTTTATCCATTCACGCATTTTTTTCCAGTACTTTAAATTTAAAAAAATTACAATAGAGTTTCATAACTAAAACCATTGCGCACCTAATGAACGTGATGACGCGTCTATAATAGAGCTGAATAGTTGATTAAAAATTATAAGTAATAAACAGTAGGGCCTACATTCAGTGAATAAAATAAATAAAAGACTGCCTTTTATCAATCCATGCTAATTATAATTTTCTAACAATAATTTCCTCTTACACATCCGAATAATTTGCATTCACATTTTGCTAATTATATTATTGCAACACTAATTCCTTCTATGACGAACGTATATTTGCATTTACATTTTTTATTAGCGTGAGTTTAATGTATTTTTAAATTACCTCCTTTGTCAAAATTAGAAAAGAGTTAAATTAATTTGATTTTTCTACCGTACTGTTATTATCTTATTAAAATGTATCCACTTTTTCTGGGAACCTAAACGAAAATGATATTTGACATTAATCTTTTTAATACGTTTTAGCAGTTTGCGTGTATTTAATATTTTCTTGACGTTATGCGAAAGAGTAAAAACCGTGGCAATTATAAAATAGCTCTATGCCGCTATATAAACAAACCCTACTCTAATACTTATAATAAGACACTGCGGTGCACTGAAAAGCACAGCATGGTGCGAATGTTTACTTTTATGGTTCCAAAATCTATAGCGATGACGGAAGGAAGGAAGGACTGACACACTACCAGCAGCGTTATATTATAGATGTGGTCATTCTTTGTTAATATCTATAGACGCTCGATTTAAAAAAAAGAGCTTGCACACTTTTTTGTGAGCAGTTTTCCGATGTGCAGTTTTCCGGTCACCAATTTTTGCATGTGTTTATTACAGGTCATGAAAGTAAAGGCAATGAGCAGTTTGAGACTTATGAGGACAATACTGATGAAAGTAAGGACAAAATGATTAATTTTTAGGTCATTCTATTCTGGAATAGAGCTCCTTTCTTTAGAAAAAATGGCATCAATAGAGGCCTATATTAAATTTGATTATAGGCTTATTTAACAGACTAGTGCTAGATTACAAATACTAACCAATAGCTAACTATTTGCTTGAATTATTTTTTAAAACCAAAATTTGACTAAATATTTGACATCTGCGGATTCTATTTTTACCCATTTTCCCCATCAGGCTTTGGAGGTCACATGTCACGAAGCAGGAAGATGAAACAGAAGCTGAAGATGAAAGAAAATTTTGACTTTGAATTTCCTGAGAGGGATTTGTTTATTTTTGCCATCCTTTTCAACAGAAGGCACATGGCTGACATGTTTCTTCAGCAGGGTATTGACCCCATTGGTAGGAAACTTTCTTCAATCATTTTTTTTCATTAAAAAATGATTGGTCATTTTTTTGTAATTTTTATTCAAGCGTTTTTCAATTTTTAACCCAAATCGGCATGAATTTTGGAATTTTGAATTATATATTGATATACGACAAATAGTAGATGGCATGGCTTAGCTAGACTGTAAACAAGAAGTCTTGATTTTGAATCCGGGTTCAAATCAGTAGAGTCCCTGAGTCCACCCAGCTCTAATGGGTACCTAACCCACATTAGTGAAACAAAGCCAGCTGGGCATAGTGCTGACCACATTATCTCCTTGTATGCCGAGGTCATTGAAACAGATGAACTCTTCTTCATCTGCCCAATGTGTCTTGGGCACAAACAGGAAAAAATGATACTACAACTGGAGTTTTAAAATGAAGTGTGAATAAATTTGTTTCATGTGATAGAGCCATTGAGCTAGCAGTAAGAAATTTTTTCTGTTGTCCACCAGGCACCTCCCTGTTTGGGTGTTCTCTGTTGAGGGCCCTGTCTGATAAAGCCACAGAGGAGGAGGAGACGAGCACTAGCCTAGCTTTGATGTCACACTCCGAGTAAGATTTTTCACGTCTCTTTAGATTAATGCTTGTAATTAACATTCAAAATTTTTTTTTCTTTCTTTCAAAATTTCATCATCATCCTCCTGTGGGGTCGGCGTGGTTGAGTTGGTAAAGTCTCGAGTTCAAACCCTCGAGCAGATGAGGCTCGATAGCTGGGGACAGCCACTCTTCTAGGAGAAACAACTCCAAAATCAAACAACTGCTGCCTTGTAGTTTGTTCTTGGTTGGACAAAGGCTATGGAAGCAAATCCAAAAAGAAAAGCAGGCTGAAATCGGAGTCAATGGCCTTAATGGCACATAACCAGTTGACACGTATCCTTAATTGTGATGGAGGCGTGGTCGAGTCGGCAAAAAGTTCATGGTTGATAAATTCGAAAAAGTCTCCAGTTCAAACCCTCTGGCAGATAAGGCTCGATCCCTTCCAACACTAAAAATTAAGAACTAAGAAGAAGAAGATCATCCTCCTGTTATAATTCTCCACCATCCATCTTGGTCCTCTGTCACTGTGATTAGTTCTGAGACTGGTAGCACCGTTCAATTCTTGATGTCATCCATTCAGTGTCGTCTTTGCCTTCTCTTTTCAATATTTTCATAATTTGTTTTGTTTATAGCTTGTAGTTAACATTCAGTGTATGTTTTTTTTTCTATCAATATTTAGTATAAGGTATTTCATGTTTTGTTTGGTTTAAGGCTTGTAATTAACATTCAGTGCATGTTTTTTTTAAAATGAAGATTTTTCATGTCAATTTCAAAATCTGTCTTAGACATTTGTTACGGAAGATCTGTATCTTGTCCGTAAGGTCTCGGAGACTCTCCACGTCTCTGCTTCATAAAACTAAACTGCCTTGACATTTGAATTTAAAACCTTTTAGTAATTAAAAAATTAATTAATTTTTATTCCCCCACAGAACTTTAGAATCCTTTGCCGTCAATGTACTGGACGTGTGCTACCTGCGCAGCAAGATGAACACCCACCTGTTGCTGTGCCGCACCTTGAAACACCTGGGCAACATGGCCATCCTGGTGCTGGTGGACAGGCAGAAGCTGATGGACCTGGCCGAACACTCGGCCTGTCAGACCAAACTCAGCAGCATCTGGAAGGGAAATGTCGCCCTGCACACGTCAGAGCTGAGGGTGAGTTCTTCAAGGCTGGGGTTTTGTTTTGGCTCAACATCTTGACTTTTTATCTTCTTCATACATGTTAGCCTGAAGTTTTTTGGCTCAATATCTTGACTTATTATCTTCGTAGTGCACCTTATCCTGGGATTTTTTTAATTGACTCTGTATCTTTACTTTTCATCTTCTTCACACGTTAGCCTGGAGTTATTTATTGACTCAACATCTTGACTTTGTATTTTCGTCTTGCACCTTGGGTTGCGTTTTTAATTTTTGATATTTTTATTTTCTCAACACCTTGTTCTTCACTCTCTATATTGTGTTTATTATTTGAGACTATCTTTATCTTGTTATTCATATGTTTCATGTATATCTGATTATTTTAAGTCACTATTTACTTCATTTTAGCTTAATTATAAATCTTTTATTCTTTTGTTTCATTATACTCACCGTTGCTTAGCGTGCAACATTTAAGTTTATATTTTAGCAAATGTTTTAAAAATATCTTTTAATCATTGCTTTATTTATTGTTTTTGTTGCTTAAAATCATTAATTTTATCATTTTTTAATCCATTGCTTTAAATCATTAATCATACTTCTAAACTTTATTTAAACCAATGCATTTTATTGTCATTTTAATAACTCTGTTAATCATTTAATACATTTCATTTTTTATAATATTTTTTTAAGCATTATGATAATCATTGTTTAATCCGTTGCTTCTAATCATTAATCCTTGTATTAATCATTCCCTGCAGATCCTGATGACCATCATCTTCCCCCCTCTGATTTACTTCATGAAGTTCCACACCACTGAGAAATCCAGCAGTTCCCTGACCACTGAGGTAGAGGCGGGGTCACCAGAGAACCAGCCATACCTGGACACCAACAAGGTCAACCCCGCCACAGATTCCGCTGTTTTCTCCCCCTCCAAGAAGAAGCCCAAGGACACGACCTTGCGCTCCAAGTTCCAGGAGGTGCGCATGTTCTGTGGGGATGGGAACTCCATCAGTTTGTTGGAGGCTGCTTACAAGTTCTACAGGACTCCAGTCACTAAATTTCTTAACAATATTGTAAGTAGAGGCCTTTGTTCAGAGTGTTTATATTTCATCATTGTGTTAGCAACAAAGGCAATTTTAAAACTCTTGACTATATAAATATGTTTGATACAATTAATCTAACAGGTGTAGTAGTTAAAGAAGTTACATTTAAAGATTTTTCAATGAATTTTGACATTGACTGCCCAGCTGTTTCTACTTGTCTACCCACATTCCCACAGTACACCTTCTATTCACCTGTCTACCAACTGTCCATCCACTGTCCACCCACACTCTGCCCACCCACCAATTGTCCATCCAACTGTCCATCCAACTGTCCATCCACCATCCAGCTGTCCATCCAGCTGTCCATCCACTGTCCACCCACTGTCCAGCTGTCCATCCACTGTCCACCAACTGTCCAGCTGACCACATGCCACATCCATCCCCAGATTGCCAGTTTGATCTTCCTGGCCTTGTTCAGCTACTTCCTGCTGACAGACATCAACCCAATGGAGAATGGACAGCGTCCATCAGTTGTTGAGTGTATTGTTTGGGTCTGGTTCCTCACCATGATCTTTGAAGAAATCAGACAAGTCAGTTTTTCAAATAATTTTTTATCTAGCATTTTATCATAGCATTCATAAAACATTATATTTCTGTTATATGGTCTAAAAAAAAAATTTCATTAGAAAAATGTTGTGATAGTTCTACTGATTCTGTTCTACAGCTTTTATTAATTTTCCTAGCAGCCAGCATGTCATATTTTAAGCATCTTTCTATTGTATTAATTTCAACCAAAAATATAAAAAGCTCATATGTAAAGCTTTAAAAAATTGGAACCATACATTAACTGCATAATTTGATCCCTCATATTAACCACCTTTAAATAAACTAGTTAATTCAATAGAAAACTTATGAACACAAATTTCCTAAATTTCTCATCCAGATTTGACAAAATTTCTGAATTTTTCATAATTATTTGACAAAACTCTCAAATTTCTCATCCAGATTTGACAAAATATCTGAATTTTTCCTAAATATTTGACAAAACTCTCAAATTTCTCATCCAGATTTGACAAAATTTCTGAATTTTTCCTAAATATTTGACAAAACTCAAACTTCTCCCCCAGATTTGTGTGAGTGACCAGCGGTCAGTGAAGTACAAGTTCCAGAGCTGGTGGAGCAGCTTCTGGAACCAGTTTGATTTTGTCATGTGCCTCGGCATGATCCTGTCAGTCATCCTGCGCTTCGAGCTGATGACGGACTCCCACTTTGTGTACGTGAGGATTGTGTACTCCATCACCCTGATCATGTGTTATCTGCGCTTCATGCAGTATTTCTTTGCTGAGAAGAATATGGGGCCAAAGGTCATCATGATCAGAAAAATGGTACGTCTCCACTTTTTATCTGAAAAAAGATCATTAGATCTTTTTGTTTTGACTGAGAAACTCAGAGAAATATGTCATTATGTTTTTGTAGTTTGCTTTAGAAACACAAAGACATTATTTAGTCTGTTTTCATTTTGTTAACAAAATTGTACCACATTCAGACTCTGTACTTGATTAGAGCTTCACCATTATAATTACAGAATAAACACATTTAAAGTTATATTTTATTTGTTGATATTTCCTTGTTTATAACTAGTGCCTTGTCAAGAATTATATCCCCTTAACAGTAACCAATAATTACCTGCTGTTGTGTACACATATCTGTTGCCTCCCCTTGCAGCTGACAGACCTGATGTTCTTCTTCTTGATCCTCTCTGTGTTCCTGGTGAGCTTTGGCGTGGCCTACCACATCAACATGTTCCCCAACTCCCCAGACAGCTGGTCCATCCTCTACAGGGTCTTCTACTACCCTTACTTCCAGCTGCAGGGCAACATCTTCCTGGAGGATATGCAGGGTAGGTCAGGGTCACGGTAGAGGGTAGGTGAGGGTCACCATAGAGAGGTCATGATAGGTGATGTCAGAGTAAGGAGTAGGCCAAGATGGCATTAGAGGGTAGATCATGGTCAAATTAAAGAATAGGTCATGGTCAAATTAAAGGGTGTGGCATGGGTAGGTCATGATCACAGTAGAGGGTCAGTCTTAGGGTCACAATAGAGAGTAGGTCATGTTAGGTCAAGGTCAGTGTAAGGAGTAGGTCATGATGAGATTAGAGGGTAGGTCATGGTCATGGCAGGGGTTGGTCATTGTCACAGCTGGGTTACGTCATGATCACAGTAGTGAGTAGGTCATGATCACAAGGGGTTGGTAGGTCATGGTCACAGTTGGGGTAGGTCATGGGTACATTAAATGTAGGTCATATTCACATCTGGGTAATGTCATGGTCAGAGCATGGGGTAGGTCATGGTCACATTAGAGAGTAGGTTATGGTTGGTCAAAGCAAGGAGTAGGTCATGGTCACAGCAAGTGGTAGATCATAGTCGGTCATGGTCTCAGCAAAGAGTAGGTCAGTACAGAGGAGGTTAGGTTATAGTGTGAACTCTAAATTCTTTGTTTAAAATATTCATGAAAATTAAACCAGTATGAATCTTTGTTTAAATTATTCATCAAAATAAAACCTTCATGAATCTTTGTTTAAATTATTCATCAAAATAAAACCAGCATGAATCTTTTAAGTTATTCATCAAAATAAAACTTGCATGAATCTTTAAGTTATTCATCAAAATAAAACCAGCATGAATCTTTAAGTTATTCATCAAAATAAAACCTGCATGAATCTTTAAATTATTCATGAAAGTAAAACCTGCATGAATCTTTAAATTATTCATCAAAATAAAACCAGCATGAATCTTAAAATTATTCATCAAAATAAAACCATCATGAATCTTTGTTTAAATTATTCATCAAAGTAAAACCAGAATAAATCTTAAAATTATTCATCAAAGTAAGACCAACATGAATCAGCTGTTTGAATGTTTCCAGGTGAGGATGTCAATGACTGCACCAGAAACCAGACCTTGTGGCTATCTGACCCTGCCAGCAGGTGTCCAGAAAAAAATGCCATCAACCTCATCTTCTGTGCCCTGTACCTGGTGCTGACCAACATTCTCCTGGTCAATCTGCTCATTGCCATGTTCAGGTGAGTTATGTTGTGGGTGTCATTCTCATTAGATGTCATCTTGACTATGGTCATTTGTCATGATTGGGTCTCACAGTAATAGATGACATCTTGACCATTGTCATTTGTCACAAAGTCTAACAATAGATGTCATCTTTACCATGGTCATTTATCATAATAAACAGGTCTCAAAAGAAAGAGTATAAATTAAGAAAGAAAGAGAATAAATTAAATGTTGTATAAGTAATGCCTCTCCCTTGGGTACATCAATTGTGTGGAAAGATGGGGTCTGATACACGTGCAACTTCTGCTACAAGGGCAACATCTTATACATGGGCAACATCTGATACATGGGCAACATCTGCTACATGGGCAACATCTGATACATGGGCAACATCTGATACATGGGCAACATCTGATACATGGGCAACATCTGATACATGGGCAACATCTGATACATGGGCAACATCTGATACATGGGCAACATCTGCTACATGGGCAACATCTGCTACATGGGCAACATCTGATACATGGGCAACATCTGATACATGGGCAACATCTGATACATGGGCAACATCTGGCTCTTCTTAACTTGCTGCCCTGATTTTGCACCTTAATTTCCAAAATACAATCCTCCAATCATCTATCAGACTAAGGAGCCATTTATTTAATTCTTTAGATTAAACGTCCATGCTTTAAAACTTAAAAGTTATAATATTATTACATTCTTTCAATTTTTAATGCTCAATAAAACTTTGATGCCTCAATACAATGTTTCTTTCCTCTTGAAACATTTAGTAAAAGTTGAATGAAAGTTCTAAAACATTCACATGGGGACACCTTAAGAAACTCACTCTGTTAAATACATTGAAAACTTGACCTTCCCCCTTAAAATCATTGTTTACATATTTCCATTGCACCCCTTTAAAATCATTGTTTACATATTTCCATTGCACCCCTTTAAAATCATTGTTTACATATTTCCATTGCACCCCTTTAAAATCAGTGTTTACATATTTCAGCTGCACCTTTGGCTTTCACTTTTAAAAACATTGTTTACATATTTCAGCTGTACCTTTGACCTTCAACCTTCAACCTTTAAAATCATTGTTAACATATTTCAGCTGCACCTTTCAAAATGTCCAAAATGTCTCCACCAAAGTCTGGCATTTCTACCGTATATCCCTGATCTACGAATACCTTGACCGCCCATCTCTGGTTCCTCCCATTATATTCCTAAACCACTTGTGGAGAGCTCTTCGTCATCTGTTGATTAAAAAAGGCTACATGTCAGCAGAACATAATGCATTTAGTAAGAGATTTCCTTTTTCCTTTCAGTAACAATTTCTAACAACATATACTGTGAAATAAATTTTTTTAAATAAATCATTCAAAATTTATTTCTATTATTTCTTTTTTTAAAATAATAAATAAGATTTTTTTATCATGCAGTAAAATTGAAATATTTTTTCTCTGTAGATATACTTTTTAATTGAGGATTTTTATGGATGCAAAACCATAGGTGATTTTATAATTTCTATGTAGTTAAGTTTTAGTGTACTGTATATTTTCTTGTAGGGGTACCATTGAGTGATGAAGTGAACCTACGTCTGAGCTTGTTTGAAAAGGAAGCAATGGAGGTTTATCTGGCCAACTCGTCCATACGAGAGCGGGAGCAGCTGGACAGTAGAGTAGCCTCGACTGCAGAGAGGTCAGTTTCTTTCTGTACATAATTTCTGTAAATAATCTCAATGATTTTTTGATGGTGAACAAGTGTGTCTGGTCTTTGTTTTTATCTATGTGTTAGATCACTCTCATGGTGGTCTGTAGTGTCGTATAAAGCAGTTGGATATTTTACTGGCTACACAAGATCTTTTTATGATTTTGTTAAATGAAGAGATACCCTACTTCATCTGATCTATTGGTCTCCATGTTTTCAGAAAGGGAAATAAATATTTGTCTATACAAACCACAAAGATGTTAGTTGTACCATAATTTTTTGGATGTTATGCGTGCCACTAAAGATGCTGACACTAACCAGATTCTAACATGAATGAATAAGGCACTTAAAGAAACTTGACATTAGTTGCTGATCTCAGAATTATAGAAAAGCTCACCAACCTCTGTAAAAGAAATTGACTTCATGCTTATTTTTTTTTATATATTTTAGTTATGAAAACTATATAAGTATCTCATCTCAGACATAGTTATGTCCATAGAAGATGGCATGGTCAAGTAGTAGAGGCTTGACTGCCAGCCCTAAATGTTTCAAGTTTGGATCTTTGTCCAGACTAGTGACTGTAAGATGTCTCTGAGTCCACCCAGCTCTAATGGGTACCTGACTCACATTAAGCAAAGTAAAGATGGCTATGAATAGTGTGGCCCACACTATCCTTTCATATGCTGACGTCAAGAAACATTGCTCCACTTTATTTGCCCTTTGGATCATTGATTCTGAAAGGACAACTTTACTTACATCCCCCTTCTCTTCCTCTAGACTAGAAATAGTGATGGATGACTTGAAGAGAATTAAAGAAGCTGTCCAGCAACAAGAGAAAGGGCTGAACTCTGCAGAACAAATGGTCACCCCAGCAAAGAGTATACCACTGGGAGCCTCTACCTCATCCATTGTGTCACAATCTGATGTCACCCCTAGGATCACTGCACACAGTAGCAGGTATATTTGTTGATCATACAAACTAAAGGTAGAGCCTGAAAGAGCTGCATGAAAGAAACTGCACGCTAAACACTTTTTAGATTAGAAAATTTCAAGTTCCCCGCTCAGGAGAGGAAAAAGTCTGAAAGAAACACTGGTGTTGCGCTTAGCCACTACTCGAAGAATTGCATGAAATAAACTCTACACGCAAAACGCGAAGCCCCACCCAAAAAATTGCATGAAAGAAACTCTACACACAAACCACTTTTTAGCATAGACACATTAATTAGGCGGTAATTTTATAATAGAGTATCGATGACTACATTTCTTTTGAGTTGGGGGGGGGGGGGGGGCTTAGACGTTCTTTCTCGAGGGTGGGGCTTCGCCCCTACCCGAAGAATTGTATGAAAGAAACTCTTCATGCAAACCACTTAGATTAGACAAAATTGGCTTTTTTTAACTCAATGTTTACTCGACAATCAATGACGTCATATTACTGTGTGGACTCTCCGACTTGATACTATTTTCTACTATATGCTAAATGTGACGTCATATTTCGCTTTACTATGAAAGTTTTTAATTTGCTTGTATTTTCTCTTTAGCGTTCTTGTCAGATACATAGATAGATAGACAGATAGATAGATAGACAACTTTTTAACTATGTTTATTTATTATAGTATTAGCCCTACCCACCAATATATCTTCTAGTCCAACTTTTTAACTATGTTTATTTATTACAGTAATAACCCTACACACCAATATATCTTCTAGACCAAGCTTTTAACTATTTTGTTTATTTACAACAGTATTAGCCCAGGGGATGAGATAGTGCTGCAAGCACAGATGAAAGATCTTCAGCAGCAGACATCCCAGAATTCCCTGCGACTGATGGAGCTGACAGCCATGCTGGAGAAGCTGCTCAAACAAAAAGACTGAACCATACAAAACAAATGGGTGGGTCTGTCATGTGACCATGTTAAAAATAACTTTAGGTATGTCATGTGACAAAATGTTAAATATAGCTTTGGTTGTCATGTGACCATGCTAAAAATTGCTTTGGGTTTGTCTAATGTTGACAATTGCTTTGGGTATGTCATGTGATCAACAATGTCTTTCATGTGACAAATGTTAAATATAGCTTTCTGTAGCCTACATCATGTGTCCAACAATGTTGAATCAAACTTTTTTGTGACCTTTTAAAAGCTCATCCAGAAAGATATTACCTCATCTGCTGATGAACAGAGATCCATTTTATCTAGATATCTGAAGTTTATCTCAGACGAAATAGATTAAAAACAAGTAATTTAAATTTCATTATTCATAGGCCTACTGATTTTAATCAAATGCTTTTTAATTGTATTTAAGTAATCCAATTTTGGTCTTCAAAATTTTCATTTGAAAAATTTTAATATCAAATATTAGAACTAAATTGTAAAACCTTTTTTTTTAAAAAAAGGGTTTTACATTATTTTTGTGTAAACCTTTCTTGTGTTTGTTTATAGATATATTGGTATGAGCATTTTAATTTATCTAACCGGAGTCTTTACACATTTTGTTAGGTGTAATTTTATATTTAGTGTTCTGTTTTAAAATCAATATTTTTATATCTATTATTCTTATTATTAATGTAACTATGTTTTTGATTTCCGGTTATGGAATATTTGTTAATGTTAACTACATTTTTTAATGGTAGTAATTAGAAACATTCCCTGTGTTTTTTATGTGACAGATAATGTTTTTTGACAGATAATTTTTTTTCTTATCTGGCAATACTAGTACATTTTTATTTTGATATTTATTTGTTAAAGACAAATCCTAATGACTCCACCGGTTTTTGGTTGCAGAGATTTCATATCTGCTTTTTGGCACACACTGCTTCGTAGTGAATACACTTTTACATGAAATATTTTGTGGGTATTTTCTTTTTAATAGTCACACCAGTTAATTGTGTGAATATATTATTCAATCAATTACTTCACTAGTCCACCTAGTTTAGCTGGTTTAGTTTCCATTCTCAATTTTTAAAAATAGTTTTAATGTTCACAGTTGTAGCTCTGTGAGATAATTTGAAAGATAATTCAGATGGTATTATTTGTGAACAAATATATTTATGGAACAATGGCATAAAGCAAACAATTTCTTGACTTAAGCTCTGATATATGGATACTTTTTTGGGCATTAATTCAAAATTCAGCAAAGTTTTAAATAATTACTAAACCAATTATTTTTCAGCAGACATAACTTACATCAACATGAAATTTAAAAAACAGTTATTTTAAGAGTATTTGTTATTTTAAATTGATTCTTTTTAGATTTTTACAGTATGCCTACAGACTTTAGCTTTAAAACAAATATTATCTCCCTTGTTTTTAGCTGCATGTCTTTTAATGCAGCTTTAAAATTTTCTTTTACAACACAAATACATTGCTCACTTTGAGATGTGTTTTATATAAATAGATAATAATGTTATATTTATATTAATATCGTTTTGCCTGAAATGTTTATTTTTTCAGCAAATTTTGTTACTTGTTGAATCTCACCTGACACTTTTATTATTTATACAGAAGTGTGGTCTATACATTTTACACTGAACTACTTAAGTTTACATTTATATTTTTATACAACTATTTTCTTTTATGCATAATAAATGTGAAATTATTTTATTAATTAATTTGCAACTATTTAATTGACTTATGTGACATTAATTAATGTATTAATACTAATAGAATATCAGTTAGTTGATTAATGTGATATTAATTGATTAATATATTAGTTGATTATAGTGATATACAAATTAATTAATGTGATATTAGTTAAGAGATAAACCTTATATTAATTAATGGATTAACATTTTATTTCGCTGATAAATGTGCTACTAGTTTTTTAAAACCTACAAATAAAACCTGCCTGTGATGACCTTTACATTGAACTGCAGCAAAAGTCTGATCTCAAATTTTTTTTACTGTGAATTTCATGTGCACTTATTTGCTCAAAAACAATTTTTTTTGCCTTATTACATTCCTTATTGTTTTATATTTTAATTATTATTTGAGTTGATGGCTGATGTGTTTATAAATCAAGTGCAAGCATTCTAGGCTTGATGTTTTAGCCAGGAACATATACTGTTGCTGTAATTCAGGTTTTGTTTATATTTCCAAAGATTGTTTGTTCTGCAAATTGGCCAGATAAATCGCTGACCTCAGCAAATTGACCAATATTTCAATTTTTTCAATGTTTGTTTTTGCTGTGATGCTCAAAAAAAGTAATATAAAATTTCCATTTTTTATTTAAATTATGATAATTAATTGTGAATTGTAAACAAAATGGAAATTTTTTTTTTTAATAATGCAAACTATTTTTACAATTACATGTTACCATTTTAAATATCTAATTCTTTCAGAATCATGTTAAATTTTTTGTAAACAATTTTTTTTAACATTCTAAATTTCTAATTCTTTTAAAAGCATGAATATCTAATTCTTCAAATAACAAATATCGCATATTTTTAAAAGCTTGAATATCTATCTCCTTAAATAATAAATATCTAATTCTTTCAAAAGCATGAATATCTAATTGTTCAAATAATAAATATCTAATTCTTTCAAAAGCTTGAATATCAAATATCTAATTCTTTTAAAAGCATGAATATCTAATTCTTCCAAAGCGAGTTGCTTAATATTTTTGTATTAATATTTAAATTTTTTTTACTGTTAACAACCTTTTGAACTTTGTAAGTCAATCTCTGCAATTTCAATGTATGCTGAAAATTTAATTTTTTTCATTCAATTGTGGTTTTTCAAAAACACTACTTGGTAATTTAAAAGCTATTTAAAAAAAAAAAAACTAAATATAAATAAAGTAGAATAAAATGAGTAGGTACAAAGTTTTTTGTTTATGCCTCTGTCTGTTCAAATACAAAATCTTTACAAATTGTAATGTCAATTCAAAATAGTTGAGTTTTGTTTCTTAAACATGCAATGTATTTAATGTTGTTTTTTTTTAAATTTAGATATATATAGATCACTATAGTTTAGTTTTTAGTTTTTCTCAACACTAGTAGATAAATTTATGCAATGAATATCTAGGATCTATTTAAACAGAATTTAAAATTGAGGGAGAAAAAAGAATAGAAAAATGGTTTAGCTTTAGATTTTAATCAATTTATTGTTAAAACAAACACAGAGAGAGAGGGAGAGAGAAAGAGAGTGATATACATAAAGTGTGTTAATGATACATATATCCTTTTCTTCTTCTTCTTTGTTCTTAATTTTTTCGCAGTTGACACATATCCTTAATATATCCTTTAAAAGCTAATACTTTTTTTGGCCCCTTTACTTGACTAGATAAAAGAAATGTGTTTAGTGTAATTCACTATGAAATAATATTTGGTCCGGTAAACTTGAATGATATTTTTCTGATTGTGTATCTTCTGATAAATTATTTTTACTTTTCTTTGTTCCATCAGAAAATAGATAATCCCCTAGAAATCTGATGTTCCTTTGATCTATCAGCTAACAGATGTCACCAAACAAACAAAAAATAGTGCTATCTTTGTCCCATCACTGTTAAAAATGACTGTGTCTCAAACTAGGGAATTTTTTTTCCTTTTTCCTTCATAAAGTATTTATAAATACTGTGTGCCATATTATCACTTAGAAACAATTTTCAGAAAACAGTCCCATATTTACAGGTCTATCGCAAGCATCTTGCACAATTTGTTCTTGATAACTAGTCTTTCTACTGTGTAGTTTTGGCTCCATTGGTTTTAGAAAATTACAGAACCTTAATGAGAAACAGCAATATCAAGGCAATTTGAATAGCCATGATTACAAATGGACAACTACATTTACTACAATTTTTGTTTTTATTGATAATTCTTTTTCAAACTCCTAACTATTATTCAATAGCATAATTTAATTTAAAAAAAAGATAATGAAAATGTGAAAAGATCACAGCATTTATTTCAATTTACAAAATATTTATTACGGAATGTGGTTCAACATTTCCAGATTCGTTTTTTTGATAAATTTTTTAAAAGAAATTATGCATTTTTAATATTTTTTAATTGTTTAATATATTTGCTTAACAATATACATTTAGTGGTTAAACAAATATACAATTCTAAAAGTTCTAAATTCATATTGTTTTCAACAATCAAGTATCTTTTGCACTTTGATGTGTAGAGAAATGCTGTGTTCCAATAAATGTTTCAATTTCAATGATGTTCTAGCTTTTGTTTTCCTTTCCATTCAACATATCTTCTATTATAAATTGTATATCTTGTTTCATGTTTTGTATTCTTTGTTATACTGTTTTTTTTTTGCTATAAGTTTTACCGTCTGTTTTTTTTTTTTCTGTGGAAGATGATCATCATCTGAATTTCTAGTAGAAAAATTAACTTCTACTAAATGGAGGGAATAAATCAACTTGGAATTGTTTAATGTAACAGCTTAAATAACAGACATTTTTGGTTAATTCCATGTCTGTTATGCCTGTGGAATCTTGCAAGTTTTCAACCCTCAACAATGACAAGTTTAGCATGTGCCTATTCCGAAGATAATGCCAATATTTATGCAATAGATTAGGTGAAGTAGAGTTCATCTAGAACTAATTTTATTTTTAGGTTTAGAACTAGGTTACAAAAATGTGTAGATAAAGCTACACAAAGTATTCAATGTAGTCATTCATTTGTCACTCACACAATTTCAGTCTTAAAATAAAAACTGGAAAAACATTTTTTAGAGAAATAATTTATAGTATTTAATAGTTTCATGATAGTACAAATACATACCAGTAATAAATTAATGATCCAGCTTATAATAAAAAAAAATGTATTTTTTCAGTACTAAAATTCATGCCATAAGTATGACCAGTATTAGTTATTTAAGAAATGGGCAAATGCCTGATATGTATGAATTAATGGGCATATGCCTGTACAGTATAAATGATAGAGATAACTTACCAGTATACATATATTAATGAGTAGGTTATGAATAATAGCAGTAATAGTAATTATTTAACAGGTGTATAAAAAAAATGGTTCTAACTTGCCGAAGCCTTAATTCTCAATCTAAAATTAGTTTTTACAAAAGCAATAAAAAAAAAACTTATCTCCTAACATTTTTAGATGATTTTAAAATTTAATATTATGAAATATCACAGAACTTTTTCTGAAAAAAAAAAACAAAGGCTGAAAATGCCAAATCTGGGCAAGTACAATAATGCTATACAGCAGTCTGAAAAGTAATGCACATAGTGCCAAGTTTGGAAACACTAGCAGTAAAAAAATGATTTGCAGCTATACAGCAGTCAGAGAGGTAATGCAATTACAAAGTATGAAATGTATTTAACAAACAAATTGTGAGAAGATTATGAAACATATACAAATGAAATTTGGCATAATTTTGATACTGTTTGAGTAGCATGGCAATACAAAAACAGAAATATTATTCTTTTTAAGTGTGAAATATTTACAAAACAAAAGAATAAACCTCAGTGCTATTGGAATGTTTTTTTTATATATTGCATTGATTAAGGTTTAATTAAGTACCAACAATGATATAAGCCGTGTACTCAGTTTAAAAATTCAACACTTTGTAATGTTATTTGACGATTACAATATTTCTTTTCAGTGTACACTATTATTCTAATAATAATAAAAAAAAGTTCGTAGCAAAGACATAACCATAAGTAATCTACCTCAATATCTTGCACACCTCTTACTATGCTCCTTTCATCAAAGCAAACAAACAAGATTTACCATCAGAAAATTGCTTTAGTAAACATTAAGCAACAATAATCAACAAATCCCTTTTGACAGTCAGAAAAGGTCAGTTCACAAAAAAAAGAGCAACAGAAAAATGCGCAATGGATTTTATTTTTAACTAAAAAAGATATTAGTAAAAAAAAATGACCATATGTAAAATCTAGCATAATAAAAGATCTTTCTATGAAACAAATGTTGCTATATTAGTACAATGAGTTTACATTTGCACATTTTTCTGTTGGCAAAATTTTTGGTTGCACAATATTCTGTCATGCTTTTTTTGGTCATCAATACATCATAATTTCTCATACCTGTCCCCCCCACCACACACATTTCACAACTTGAAGAACACTACTCATTCATCCAATCACATGACAAACTGGAAGTGAACATGATTGGATATATATTGAGGCACAGCATGGCAACAACAGTCCTAATACTTCCCTGATACAAGACAAACCACTCATTAGTCAGACGTCCCAGAAAGAACTCATCCTCACATCTAGTGAAAGTACTCAACTATACAAACATAACATCCAAAAGCTTACCCAGAATGATTTCACAAGCTTTCAGAAGCTTAGAAAGTACATTATTTAACATCAGTATGATTTACATTGTATTCGACCAAAACTAATTTTGACTCTCCAGCTCCAAAGTTTTAAAAAAAACTGTCTTTAGAGCTCTTTAATTATAAAAAATTAAATTGAGCTAATTTTAAATGAAAAAATATTTTTTAATGCTTAGCCTAGATATCAATGTTTAAATTTTAGACCTTAATTGAAAATGAAATGAAATATATTTAAAGCTCTTGAAACTAGCTAGCCTTATGTTTTATTTAACTGAAATTTGCCAGTAAAAAAGAATTTGATAAGAAGTTTGTATTAATTAAGAAGTCTCAAAAGTTTTACTTGTAAATCTCTGCTCATTGGTTGGACAAAGAGTCTGATGTTACAATAATTTTTTTGAGAATTAAATTTAAATGACATTTCATAATGTTTTAAAAATATGTTAAAATGAATAATTAATTATTGACAAAGTAATAATCTACATCTAGAAATAATGTATCTAGAATTGTTATTTTTGTTGTACTATGGCCTACAATCTCTAACAAAAAATATCAATTAAGAACCTCCTTCAAAAAATGTTTCCGCATTTTAAAGCCAAATTTCTTTAATTGTTTATCAATTAACTTTTTTAGCATGCAGGTATACCGAATTATAGAGATATTTAAATTAAATTTGCATAGATTTTAAGTTTAAAAATAAATTCACCTCTAGTTACTAGTAAATCATTACATTTACATTTTACAAAATAATTAACCTATTTTTATGAATTACAGGCAAATTTTCAGTTTTTTGATTATCTTTAAAAACGTGGCAACTTCACAGAATACCTATGTGTATCCAACTTTGATTTGTTTAAAATTAACTAAATAATGTTGCTGTATCAAATTTATCTTAGTTGTAGAATTATGACCATGACGAAACTTTTTAATACCGCTTGTTGCCATTCATAACATAGTCAGCCCTGGTGTCATTTCTGGCATAATTTCCATCCCCGCGCCCGGCCAGATTTAAATTTGACCTACTCAGCGTGTGCTCCGCTTGGATTAACTCTGTCGTGTATCCATTGCTGAGGTCTGCTGACTCAGCGTAACTGTTGCGCTGGTTGGGTCTTGTAATTTCGTAACCATTGCCGACATAGCTTGGATAGGGGGCGCCGTTTCTGGGGTGTTGAGGCCCATTACCGTTCCCGTACATGGAGTATGGGTTGTTGACTGGGACGTGCTTGTGCGTCACGCCGTTGGCTAGTGGGATTTCATCACGGTTGAATGCGTGGTTGGTGTACTCTGGGCCGTACGGGTTGGCTGGGGTTTGGTTGAACACGTAATCCGCAGTCCTGGACGCTGAGGCCTTGTCGTTGGTTCTGATGTTGCATGTGATGAGGAGAATCAGCGCCAGGATCAGGGCAAGTCCACTTGCGATACAAGCCAGCATGTAACCCCAGTAGTACTGCTTGGTGGCGGGGAGTAGCTCACTAGCATTGATATTTATCTCGACCTCAATGGCCACAACAATCACACCAGCTGCTCCACATAACCCTAATTAGATTTTTAAAATGTACAAATGTTAACTAATTTTTATATATCTATCTTTTTAAATTATTAAAAACACTGGGAACTTATAGTCATATGGAAAATAATGTAAGTACAAAAGTTTTAATTAAATTAGTTAAGTGTAGAAACCAATATGACATGGGCTAACTTGCTTATAAAATAAGAAAAAACAACAATTATCCAATAGCTAACACTTAAGAAAGGCATATCACTGCTTAGAATCAAAGATGGAAAGGTCTAGGGGATGATGAAAATAAACACATACCAGCCAACATAGTCATGACTCCAGTAAAACCATAATCCTTGCTGTCAGGATCCCCGCAACAGTTCTGTATCAGGCTGTACAGGACAGCCAGGAGGTAGCAGGCCATGCCACCAATCCAAACACCTCGTACACCATCCATCCAAACTAGAAAATTGAAAAAAATTTATTTTTAAAAATTAAAGTCGAATTTTTTAAAAATAACTAACTAAAGTAATCAAGGTTTGGCATTGGTCAGTTTAGAATGAATGAATAAAAAGGAAATAGGGCAGTCTATAAAAGTCAATACACATATTTTAGCGAGGATATGTCACAGTTTTACAGTTTAGAAATATAGTTAAAAATAAAGTTAGACAACCAACAAACACAAGTTCAGCAGCATAAAAAGTTTTTTTTTCAGATGAAAATAAAGAGAAAATAAAAAGGCTTCTAGGAGGTTTGATCTCAGTGGGGTGCTGTCTGAAGACTCTGGCAACTAGGCTAATCCCCTCAGTCTCAAGTAATACAAAATACTAAATTTTGACAAATTGGGAATCGATGTCGTGGCCGGGTGGAGAATATGATATCTAAATGTCAGTTGCTGGATCGGAACCCATGTCAACATAGTAAATGTCTTTTTAAATTCTTTCTTTACAGCATTCAAACAGACCCTCTAACTAAGGGGTTGGCAAATTTGAACAATAGCCACTGATCTCAGTACATTCTAAAATGCAGAGGCGTAGCGAGGGGGGTGACATATGTCCCCGGGCGCTGACCTTAGGGGGGGGGCGCGCCAAATTGAAAGTTTGAGGGGGGGGGGGGGTGCAAATGAAAAGTTCGAGGGGGGTGCAAATCGAAAGTTTGTCCCCGGGCGCCGGGAAGGATCGCTAGGCCTCTGCTAAAATGAATAAAAAATTAAAAGTAAACAGCAAAGTAAGCTTTATTAACTTGATGGCCCATAAGACATAAGTAGTTGGTGTACTCAAAGATATCTTACAGACTCATCCTCAGGAACTGAACTCAACAGCTTCTAGGTTGGTAAGCATGCACTCTACCCTTCAACCACACAAACCCACACACAACATGAGAACATAGAAAACAACTTACCAACATCATCACCAAAAGCCTTTTTGGAGCAGTTGGTCATCTTAGCAGTGTCAGTCCCCAAACATCCGACCCAAAGACCTTGGAAGTAAGTGACGCCCCACCAGGTTGGGATGCAGAAAGCGAGGGCGTACACCAGGAAGATGAAGTAGTTGAAGAGAAGAGTCACCTTGTAGATGCTAGCTCTCTGGCTCCACATACCCATTATGGCACTTTTTTGTGGGAACAAGTTTCAAGAGAAGTGATGATCTAGACTTTGTTAAAGTCGATTATCTCCCTTCAAGTCAGAAATTTAAAGTGTTTATCCTTCGTGATGGCAACAATTAATTATCAACAACGAAATGTAATCCGATCCAAGTTTAGTCGAAATAAGACTCCAGTGAAACTATGTCTTCAGTGATAGAACTATGTGATGTCTGTAAATAAAAATAAAAATGAAATCTATTAAAACTTATATGGAAAACATTCAAACGCAATTTAGAAAAAATAATCTACATTTTAATTTAATAATTAATTTTAAAATAATTCACATTGCATGTGTAGTTAGTCTCTAAATATGACGTCAATCGAGGATAATTAAGAAAACCTTTAAAAACAATTGTTTTTTATTTTGCCAACTAATAAGTGGTAGGAACAAATTTCAGTAGCATTATAATGTAGAGCACCGCCTATTGCTGCAGTGACCGGCTGTGTGTGGATATGACGTAAGTGAGACCACACCACCTGTTGCTAGCTTTACTACATAAGTTTCGGCCACTGAAGTAGAAGTTTACCCGATTGTTATTGATTAAAAAACGGGGTTGATACACGGCAAGGAAATTTTATTATGAGGTAAAAATCTACGGAAAGAAAAAACAAAGGATAATATTTTGACGGTAGAGAATTTTTGCGGTTACTGTGTAAGCCCTAGAGGGCGGTTTATAAAGAAACAACTAAAGATTGAGAAACGATAAGAATTAAGTTTATAGTGTAGGCCAGGGGTCTCCAAACTACGGCCCGCGGGCCGGATGCGGCCCGCGAGGTCCTCTCATCCGGCCCGCGGAGATCTTTTTGTCCACGGGAAAAAATGTTTCTTGGAGGTGGCTGAGGAACTTTGCCCAGAAAATTCAAAATAATTTGAAAATGTAGCTTTGGTTGCAATACCATTGCCCGCCGTTTTACAGACATTGGTGAAAATGGCAAGCTTTGTGTGCTAAATATATGGACTTAAGCTGTGTACTGAATACTCTAACGAAGATGGTGAATTTAATAAGGTCATATGGGCTTAACCCTAGATAGTTTAGCGACATGTTGAAAGATACAAACACAGAATCGCAATATTTACTATATTACACAGCAGTACGATGGCTAAGTTGTGAGAAACTTCTGAGCAGAGTATTTAAGTTAAGAAAGGAAATAGGTGACTTCCTGGAAAGTAGGCAAGCCACGTCCATAAATGTCTGGTGAAGAATGAGTATAGCAATTGGCCTCTGCTGCAAACATAACTAGTCATTGAAATTTTCTGAACCCATAACTATAAGAGAGGGAAATATAGTTTCTATACACCCAACTAAAGGCATTTCAGCTACCCCGAAGAGATGCCTGGAAGAAACTCTGGCCCCCGAACTAATATTTGATAGTTAATGCGGCCCTCGGGCTGAAAAGTTTGGAGACCCCTGGTGTAGGCCTACAGTAGTCAATACGATGACTATGAAAGGGATTTAATCTAGTTTTCAGAAGGTATCATAACTCAAGTCAATGATACGTTCGTTGTATTTTCTTTCGTCTCTTCATTTTTCATATCGTAGGTCTATGTTTTAGAAAAATACATATTGGGTTGGTTACATCCCTTGCTTATCTTCGCTTGAATTCTATATTGGTCCCTGTTTGATTATTGCAATTAACGTTCGCCCCAAAACTCCGGTAAAGTACATTTCTGCCATTGCGCAGTTGCCGCCTAAAGGTGTCAAAAACAAAATGAAGTTTCGCATCTCCACGTGATCCTATCACGTGATGCGTGACACCGCCACATTGTCTCAATATTCGGGCGTGGCTGTTTTTTTTCTCTCTTAGAATAAAGAGAAAAAAATCAATTAGAAACGAAACAAAATCAATAGCCGATGGGAGATGTGATCGAAGCTGATATTTGTTCACAGTGAACCCTTGCAAAAATTGTGAATGAACTGTGAAAATTTGGCAGTGTATGTGTGTGGGGGGGGGGAGGGAATTCAATTTTGCTGTCGATTTGATGTGCGTAGGAAGTCGATGTTGAGGTCTGCATTTGACAGGTGTGGGGTGTGTAGATGTGGGTGTACAAAATACGATATCAGTTTTAAAATTCTTCGGATATTGGCCAGGGCATAGTGGCCAGTTTGCGCATGTACGATATATGTCAATTTTAAGCTTTTCGGACACTGGCCAAGATAGTCGGCCAATGCGCGTTTCGGACTTTGGCCGTAACATAATAATATATTACATTTACCCAGCCGTGCAAGTATATCAAGTGATGCAGTAACGAAAGATTGACACCAGCTATCAACGAAGCAAATTAATAACCTACGAAAACTTTCACTCTTGTCTCCTTTTTTTCTCACCCAGCCGATTTAACTTTTGTAATTTACGATTTGAAAAAAAAAGTTTTAAATGTCGTAAATCGATGAAGTTAAAAGTCTTTTCATAACACGGGGACAGGGTGCTAGCCTACCTGTAGGTAGACACTCCATGTGACACCCCGTTATCAACACTACACACCGGCTACACGCCATCTTGAGTCCCTATCGCGTCCGTTGTTTTACTTACCTGGGTCTTAACGTATCGGAAATCGATAAGCTGAGATTAGTTTTTGTGCGCTAATATGGGAGGGTGGATGACAAGGTATGGGGGAAATCGAAATAGTCACGCAGGTGGTTTTAGTAATAAGGGCAGAGTAGGGCACCACGGGCATATGCACGCAGGTGGTTTTTGGTTAGGATAGAGTCATTAGAGCCGAGTGGGGGAATCACGGGCTTATGCATGTACGTGGTTTTTTGTTTTAAGCAAGAAAGGCAGATACACTGGGGCGTACGCATGGTTGTGGTTTAAATAGAATGGAATAATGACTGGTTCCCGATAATTCAAATAAGATGTAGGACTATAGTGGTAGGTAAACAAAACGTATGTGGTACTGTATTTATTTGTAGCAATACCATGTTAGGTAACAGTGCGACTTTATCATATTGAGGTAGTATGTACGAGTGCGATAGGATATGTGTTTAAGTTGGAATGACATGTAACAGTTTGGTAGGCCATGCTTTGTAATGTTGGGATATATTGTAAGAGCAGAGGCGTAGAGAGGGGGGGGGGGGGGGGCGCAGACCGCACCGGGTGACACCATTTAGGGGGGTGACACCAAGGCAAAAAAGAGCAAAATAAATAGAGAAAAATGATAATTCCACTTAATTAAGTGATTAATTCGAGTTTTAAATAGTGTTTTAAGAGGTGCAAATAGAAAGTTTGAGGGGAGGTGCAAATTGAAAGTTTGAGGGAGGGGGGTGCAAATCGAAAATTGAAAGTTTGTCCCCTGGAAGGGTCGCTAACGCCTCTGGGAGTGACACCATTAAGTGTCGCATCGGGTGACACCCGACCTCGCTATTTCTTGCCTTGGTGTCACCCCCCTAAATGGTGTCACTCGGTGCGGTCCGCATCGCCGCCCCCTCGCTACGCCTCTGATGATATGTAACAGTGTTGTAGGATATGTTATTTAATGTTGGGTTAGTATGTCGCGTTGCGATATTGAACACGGATATAAGCAACATCAACAGTATGTAACAACCAGATGGTATGTAACAACAACCAGATGGTATGTAACAACAACCAGATGGTATGTAACATGGCCGTGTTGTCTAGCATTTCAATGACCAGTGACAGATGACAGTTCAATGACAGACGACGCAGATGACAGTAAGTTAAACCACGTGACAACTGCCCCACCCACGGCCCGTGAACAAAAATTGTACGCGTATATAGGGCCTAACTGTCAAAATAATTTGGTAGGCATCAGGGAGACACGTTCCATAGTGTTGACCATATCTGGATATTGCCTAAGGACAACATTCCTGAAATCTACACTGCACCAAGTAGATAAACCACGCCCTGTTAAAATGCTATTACTTTTAGCTCACCACAATGAATATTTACTAATGTATAATTGAATGTATAGCCCTGAGACAATCAATTATGTCCGACTTTAAATAAAAGGTCATTATAAAAAAAATGTAGGTACTATGTGTAGAGCCAGTTTTATGGTCCCTTCAATGTGTGATTATCAATGTGCTGATTTATATGACGTGTGTATACAGGAGACAACACGGATGAGTACAGAAATCACCTGATGTGGGGTTATCATCATAGCTTATTTGTGTTGTAATGAATGGTATCATTAGAGATGGTGCGAAACGATGGAGTAAGGAAGAAAAAACAAAACACGAACAAAGCTATGTGATTATTTGTTATGCAGGCGCTATGTTATAATCGACTTTGACTTAACTTAGACTGGATGTTACAAGAGTTCAACTAATCCCTTACGTTTCATAATGTTTGGCCTCTGTTATGATCACGAGATCACAAGTTAAAAGCCGGCTTAAATTTCTGCACACAAATCACAAAAAAATAGGGTCCTTTTAATTTCACACACATAACTCACAAAAATGGGGTCCTTTTATGTTTTAAATGTAAAAAAATGGGAGCATTTAAGAAATAAACCAAGATTAGGAGCGCTTCATAAATAAACCCACAATGGGGGAACTTCAGGAATACATTTATATAACCCACACAGATTGTGGGGGGGGGGGGGGGAAATAATTACATCTGACACACAAATAATGGCCATTATATTTTAGAAGGAAACGGACTTTTCTCTTGGCATTTTTATTGTTGCACAACACTAACGACAATTGTAAATTACTATCCAAAAATAGAGCAGGTCACGAACTAATTACCAGAACAATTATCCCCCTGTTCTCTCGGACATAATCCCCTCCACCCTCGGCTGTACGAGTCTCATGGTGCTGGGACATAACCCCCTTCACCCTCGGCTGTACGAGTCTCATGGTGCTGGGACATAATCCCCTTCAGCCTCGGCTGTACGAATCTCATGGTGCTGGGACATAACCCCCTTCACCCTCGGCTGTACGAGTCTCATGGTGCTGGGACATAACCCCCTTCATCCTCGGCTGTACGAGTCTCATGGTGCTGGGACATAACCCCCTTCACCCTCGGCTGTACGAGTCTCATGGTGCTGGGACATAACCCCCTCCACCCTCGGCTGTACGAGTCTCATGGTGCTGGGACATAACCCCCTTCACCCTCGGCTGTACGAATCTCATGGTGCTGGGACATAACCCCCTTCACCCTCGGCTGTACGAGTCTCATGGTGCTGGGACATAATCCCCTTCACCCT